CAGAAGATGTCGACAGCACTCTCTACAGAAGCATGATTGGAAGTCTTCTGTATCTAACAGCAAGCAGGCCTGACATTATGTTTAGTGTTTGTGTGTGTGCCAGATATCAAGCTAATCCCAAGGTCACTCATCTTAAAGCTGTGAAGAGGATTATTAGGTATGTTGCAGGTACAGTAGACTTAGGGATTCAGTTTTTCAAAGACACAAATACAAACTTGATAGGCTTTAGTGATTCTGATTGGGCTGTGGATATTAGTGACAGAAAAAGCACCTCAGGTGCATGTTTCTTTCTGGGGAATAATCTAGTTTCTTGGTTTAGTAGAAAGCAAAACTGTGTATCTCTTTCAACAGCTGAATCAGAATATGTAGCTGCTGGAGGGTGTTGTGGTCAACTAATTTGGATGAAACAAATGTTGGGGGATTATGGGTTAACCAGTGATACCCTGACCATATATTGTGATAATTCAAGTGCTATTGACATTTCAAAAAATCCTGTTCAACACTCACGAACTAAACACATAGATATTAAACATCATTTTATTCGTGATATAGTTGAGAAAAATATTGTGTGCTTAAAGTACATTCCTACAGAAGATCAGCTGGCTGACATCTTTACAAAGGCATTAGATTATGAGAGGTTTTCAAAACTCAGAAAATCTCTCGGGATGTGTACTCAATAAACATGTCCTGAAACGTGTTGCAGCACCTCATCAAATATCTTAAGCTGCAACACAATTTACTGAAGCATTAGCTTCATTAAATAATGACTTCACTGTGATGTATTATTTCCTAAATCAGTAACTGGAAGTCTTTCACCTTGAAACGTGATCATGCTTCATGTAAACATTTAGCCAATAATTACACTCACATAAGTCAAACTCCTCTATTTTGATAGTCATATCTTAGTAACTGAGGAACCCTTCAACTGAACACTTGATCATGTTCCATGTGAATTGTTTGACTTGAAAATAAGAGTTTATATATATAAATATATATTATATAAAAAAAAAAAAAAAAATATATATATATATATATATATATATATATATATATATATATATATATATATATATATATATATATAATAAATATATATATAATTGTATCTATGCCAGTCAGCTATTTTTTCTCACTATTAATCATTAATAAATGTGTTTTTCTATTTTTGTGAATATTTCATGAGTGCTACGGTTTTATTTTTTTTGAATTATCCCTATTTATATGGGTCATGGGTACATGGGTTAATCCCTTATTTTTCCACTAAGTCCACTCCTTATTGTGCCATGTGTCACGTTTTTTCTTTAAACTGCCAAGGAAATATTATTCTCCTTAATCACACTCTCCCCAAGAAAAACGCACACCACTTCTTCACCTTCTCCACTTCAATTTTTCTTTCTTTCTTCAGCAAAATTAGGGCTTATAAATTTCGTGCTTATTCTCTCAAAAATTCACACTCAAAAATCATAAGCACAAAGAAACTATCTCCT